GACCTCGACGCCCTGGCCAAGTGGTCAAAGGAGTGGCTGCTCCCCTTTAGTGCAGCAAAGTGCAAAATAATGCACATCGGGAACTGCAACCCGAGGCTGACGTACTTCTTGGACGGTGCCGAAATCGCGGTCGAGTCCACCGAAAGGACCTCGGGATCTTCGTGGATTACCGGCTCCAGTTCCACGTGCAGACCGCGGAAGCGATCTCCAAGGCCAACCAGATGCTGGCGGTCGTGAGGCGGGTCCTTTGCCAATATCGATGCTCGCACCTTGCCATTGCTTTTTAAGATCTTAGTACGTCCGTACTTAGAGTATGGCAACGTTATCTGGGGCCCGTTCGGCAAACTGGACCAAAAACGGCTGGAACGAGTTCAGCGACGAGCTACCCGGCTTGTCTATGAAGTGAGGCGCCAGCCATACCCTGAGAGGCTCAGACTCCTTCAGCTGCCCTCACTGTACTATCGTCGTCGCAGGGGAGACATGGTAACAGTGTACCAGCTATTTCATGGAGGCATGTCGCTATCGGAAGAGGAGTTCCTGACAAGGCACAACTCGGAGGTGACGAGAGGACACCAATGGAAGCTCAGAAAACCTCGAGCTAGGACTCTCGTCCGTCGCAACTCGTTCAGCACGCGGGTTGTCAACGACTGGAACGCTCTTCCGCACCCGGTCGTGTCGTCGACCTCAGTTGAACAGTTCAAGGCTAGGCTTGATACGCACTGGGCTGACATCATGTACGACGTCCCACACTGAATATTCCCATAATTTGAGACTGTTTGGTTACCGGACCGGGAGCCTGACGAGACCGAGACCTACAGGCCTAGTGGCCTTTTACAATTCCCGATCACCATAAGGTAAGGTAAGGTAAGGTGAATCGACCGACCTTGCATCACGATACGCTAATGCGCACGTTGCCTAAGCGTTACACGTGAATCATGCCGCGGAGCGCAGCAGTGGGATGAGGAGTGCCACGTGCGGTGGTGGTCGCGTCGGGAGTTATGGTGTTCGCAGGTTGACGTGGCCGCGCGTGTGTCATTGGTTTTAACATTGGCGACTGCTTTTGGAAAGGGCGCCGGTTTTTTGCGGTCAGGAGTTACACTTTTCACGCTCGGTTGGATTGGTGGCGCGGAATGTCCGTGTTTCATGACGAGAATAGAAATAGAAGACTTTCGAGTATGACGAAGAAACGGAGTCCTTCAGTTATCCGTGTCCGTGTGGCGACAAGTTTATTATAACCAAGGTGACAATGACTTAAATTAATACGCGATTTGCATGCATTGTTTGTGCCTGGTGGTGTAAAAGAGGGACCTGAAAGGGAGTGTTCGGTCAGGGTATACATTGCTACCTCATGTTAAGAAAGAGCATTGTGCATCAATTGTCGTGTTTAAGGCAGAACTTATCATAATTATTCGTAAACAGGTCATCTAAGCTCTTACCTTAGAACTTAGATAACTACGATGGCGAACATCCAAGCGCAAACACGCAGCAACCACAACCCCGTGCCATTTCTACCCGTGATCGTCGCATCATTACTGCGTGATCACAACATTACTGCTTATCAAGAACCATAAAAGTGTACTAGGCCAAGGTGACAATAATTCAATAAAGTGTGTTTCTTGCTTATCCAGCAGTCTTCCATATTGTTTGTAGATTGGTCAACATGGTGGGGAAATATGATGTTTTTGCATGGGAATGAAAAGCAAAATGGGAATATGATGGCTAAACAAGACTTCTTAGTATGGCACATATATATGGCGTGGAACATGGATGCCAATGGGACAGTGGGTTGAAGGGGACAGGGTGGGGGTTAGGTTAGGTTAGGTTAGGTTGTTGCATCTGATGCATGTTTCAGTATCTTCAAATGAGAAACATTCCCTGTAATCTTGGAAATTTAGCACAGTCGGTGATGAACTGAGGTTGGAGCATACAGTTTTCAGGTTTGACACCTTAACACCACTTTGGTGTTTGCACTATATCATGTAGGTGTATGGTGTAGTGCTGCAGACACATTTACTGGAGAACTTCTGGGCTGGCTAAAATGGGAGCATATTTTGGGCATGGCAGAAAAATTTTGTCGGGTACATCTGAAAATGATGAGAAGTTGTTATATTAAAAAGATGCTGTTGGGCAGCTCACCAAGTTTGTGCTTTATGTCTGACCTAAGAGTTAACTTTGGGAGTCAGATCTGTCTCATATTTTGAGATGCAAAAGCCAGGCCAGAGCAATTATCAAAGGTCTGAAATTGTATGCTCAGTTTTGTATGTGCTCTGGCCCTACATATTCAACTAAAACCTAATATTTTAGATGGCCCAATCACAATGGTTTTAATAAAACATCAAATGTTTCTTTTGGTGGTACATATAAGCAAAGCATGGAGCTAAACTCAGCCCATTTGCTACAAATACCATCAGTTGAAAAGCATCTATTGTGCATTTGCTGTTGCTGTTGATGGGTATTTTAGGGCAACTACACTGGTCATTTTTTGCTCTAACTGGGCATTTGCATGTCATGGGAATAAACTGTTGGACCTGGAATATCCCCCCACAGTCAAGGTACTCTTTTACAAGTGGGGAGAGTGAAGACAAAGTTTGTGTTTACCATTGGCCAGCAGCTACAAAAAAACACTGGCATCAGGGGAGATGATTTAGATCTCAGAATTGTGTGTAGACAAATTGTGACCCAGAGGAAAATGAGCAGGAAATTATTTGTCATAAAACAGTTTTTTTGGCACCAACCAATCCGGATGACATCAAACGAAATATGGTTGCTACGATCAGGCTGTAACCAAAACATCATTGATCGAAATGCTGCTGCAGTGAGAATGCTACTAGGTGGTCCTTGCATCCCATTTGGTCCATGCGACGATCAAAACTTTTGTGGATTGTTGCAGTGTCAAGGGAAGACAGAGCAAAATGGAAAATGCCTTGTCATTCAGGACTGGTTGGCAACATTGTGCCTATCTTCCTCAAAAGAGATTGGTAAATTTGTTCTCTTAAATGCCATTTCAGCCAGATGCATGCTTTGAAAGACTGGCATTGCTATGCCACACATGATGCACTGGGTAATTTATGGTTCGATTATAAAATGTGAAGCATAATTAATGGTGCCAACCAAGTGATATATGTGGGAATTGGTGATGCCTACTGGGGCTCAAGAGGACATTTGTGTATTTGCTGAACTTGTGAAAAGTAAACATTCTGGGTGAAACTGCCATATGCAAATGTGCTTTCACATATGTGTACTCACACATGCAGATTATCATTTATTGTATAATCTTTATGTTGCTTCTGAGCATAGCGAGAACCTTTTGCTATTCTAAGGGAGGTTTCACATTTGTATGGGGTTTTGAACTGAAATAGCGAGCTTGAAGATCATTTGGTGCAGTTCACAGCCCTGTCCGTCTTAAAACCCATGCCCCCCCCCCCCCCCAGTTTTTGACCCCTAGACCCCTAGCTAGGAGCTAAGACCCATACCCCATGAAGCGTCCGCGAAGATGTGCGGACTACTTCGGGAAGACTTTTTCCAAGGTCATCCAGGCGTCCATAAAGTCATGATAATGTTATTGAAATTCTGCCATTCCAATGACTAAGTGGAAGCCAAGGCAAGAAAATACATTTGTTGATTCATTGATATCTGGCGTTTGTGAGTACGATGTCCAGATAAAACGGCCGTCAATAAGCTCGCAATTGGTGTTGTGCAATGTGTGATGACATTATCAATCAGTGACGTATCGACGAGCATATTTGCTGAACAGAGAAATTATGCTGTCTAGAGAAGTCTTTTCCACTAAAAAGTACATCAACAATTATAAGTGAACCTGTTTTATTACATCTGGTGCTTGCCTGATCATGTTTAAATGTGGGACATTCCCTTTAATCAATGTCTATCCATGTATGCCCTTTTTGGATACTGGAGTGCTTAGGTCTCTTCGAGCCCTGCATCATTTCTGCAACCTTAATTTTAAAGCGTGTTATGTATCGCCACTAGTTTATAATGCGTCAGCAGGCAGCAGAGCAGAGGTGCTAATTACTGATGCTAGGAACGTTGATTCCACGAGCTGGAGGTGTAGTGGACTTGCCTGTTTTGTCCGTCCTATGTGGTTGTGTTTTAATGCATGATATTGCATTGCTTGATGTCCACTTGCAAAGCTGCGCTCGCTGTTTCATTCCACGTATTGCTATGTTTGCAGGAGGAGCTGATTGCTGGTGAAGACGTCGCTACTTGCCCGTCGTGTTCGCTCATTATTCGGGTCATTTACGATCAGGTGATGAAAGAGCGCTACTTCAATGCTTGCATCACATTTACCTGTTTTTGTGTGTGTGTGGGGGGGGGGGGGGGAGAATCCTGGCCGGTTATCTCTGTCCTCCTGTTGTGAACATTCAGAGTTACTCGACTGTTGTTTTTTTGCGATTTTGGTTTGTTCAAATTTGCTTTCGTTGTTTACTTAGCAACGTTTATTCTAATCGACATACACTTGTGTTAATGGAAGGGTGATGTGACAGTAGTAGTACCCTTATTGGAGAAAAAACCGGGAGAATGGAGATAAGTGCTGATATGTATATTATACATTCATACATACATACATATAGATATATATATATATATATATATATATATATATATATATATATATATATCCTGTTTCACGTCAGGAATAAGGCTTTTACTACAGTCTGATCGATGTGAATGATTTTCCTTGGAATTGCACTCAACAGCTTATGTAATTTTGAAGGATGTGATAAATAAAAGGCCCTGAACTATAATCTTGGTTCTTCTGTCCCTGAAGAGCAGCGGCAATGTCCTGGATGACCGCGAATTGTCCGTGTGTCCCTTGGTCGATGCAGGAAACGTTTTGCAGGACAGCACTTGGGCGAACTGAATACGTGTTGTGTGATCTCAGGACGACTACCTGGAGGAGGAGCTGCCGACGCCAGCGGCCGTGCCAACGACTGAGCCGCTGCAGACCGTGTGATCGGCGCGCCGAGCGCGACGCTTGCCCAGCCTGGTCCGCTACCCCGGGACGCCACTCCCGCCGCAGCGATGGGTGGACGCGGTCGAGGCCGAGGTCGCGGGGCCTCCATGTCGTTCAACGTCGAGCAGCTGGGTTTCGGACGCGGCGAGGCCCTGCCGCAGGCCGCTCTCGCTCCGCCTCCCATTTTCCCGCCGCTGAACACTAAGCCGCTGCCGCTGGTGGCTGACGTCCAGCACGACTACATGCTCGTCATCAAGAAGGAGCTCTCCATGTTCTGGCGCGACTCGCCGTTCTACATCACGCCCCCGGCGGTGCGCGGCTGCATAGAGCGCTACTCGGACCGTTATCAGGAACAGGCCGCCGGTGGTCCCCAGACGGACCGGACACACCGACATCTCGCGGATACCAGGTGAACTTAAACTGTCCGCTACGACCGTTCGCAAACGCAGACGTGACAAGCCGGGCGTAGCGCCGACCGCGGCCAAGACGGCTCGCGGCGGTAAGGATGTGACTGAGAAGTTGGACCAGCTGGAGAAGCGAGAGAAGCTGGGCGACCCTGAGGAGCAGAAGGAGGACAAGGAGGGCGCCGTGGACTCGGGTGAGGAGGAAGTGGGCGAGACGGAGGATGTGGAACTGGACGAGGGTACCGACTATATCAATGACTTTTTTGATAACGGCGAGGATTACCTGGAAGCGGAGGACGATGCGTTGGAGGAGGGGCCGATCTTTTGATGCACTGCTGTGATATGTCCAGGATTTTTTAGGGTCGGCCCCCTTTCTGAATACCAGTCTCAACTATGCGGCCACGTTGCGATGTTCCAGTTATCGGCGAAGATGACATAAAAAGGTTTGAATTCGTGTTGAAAATGTTACAACGTCTTTGTAACCAGCATGTGAGCCTAACTGGTTTACCCCCTAAGTCAACGTGCTGCAGCACGGTGTTTATTGCTCTTCGGGTCGCAGCAGCCGGTGGTGCGTATGTGTTGCTGGAAAACATGACTGGCGCAGTGTACTGGTAAGAGCTGTAAGGAACGATGTGACTGTTATCGGATACGCACAGGGGCTTGCGGATGTGTGCACAAAATAGAGAAAATTACGTCGGCGGTGACCGTTGAAGAATAATTGTTATGCAATTATTCTGTTGAGCTTTCGATGTGAGTAATTTGCTTTGTATTTACCCACAACTGAATTGTTGCGTCCTTTTCTACTCACTCTTTTGATTATGACTGTGGTTGCCGTCGTCTTCTGGATGCCTGCGTAGGCGGACGATGAAGGGCTCGGCGAAAAATGCCCGGATAACAATATACCTGGCACTTGTTACGTGCTGCCGTACCAGCCGGATTTCGAAATTCCCAGGCCTCAAGGAATTGAAAAAGCCTAACCTCAAAAAGTAACAAACTGCGTACCATTAAGGTGGTTGTTGTCCATTCCAGCCTTGAAACGAATAGGACCATCCAAAAATGACGATGCAATGCGTGGGAAGCAACGGCATTATTCCCACGTAATGCTTCTATTTGCCAGTCGCTGGCCTTTCGCCACGGAGTTCATGCAGTTTTGAACTTGGAGCCTTGTGGATCTCACGGAAGTCTGGTGCCGCATTGGTGCGCTGACGCCGTGAGGGACGTGTGCGTGCTGTGGCGCCACCGTCTGAACAAAGCACTTCTGCGCGGTTGGCCGGCTGCTTTAATACTGACGCAGTGCTTTACGACACCAAGGATCATTGGTTCGTCATGGGTTGTTAGATTTGATGTATTCACCTTTTTACCTTTAAGCTATTTGCATTTAATGTGATGCACGATCGGAAAATTGTTGACGCTTATGTCCACACAGGGACTTTCCATAAAGTGGGTGAGTCTCACATCACCACATCACCCTATCAGGTTTCCACCGATTCCTGCCGACCAGCCACTTCCAGTCCCATGCAAAAATTATGATGCTATAGTTACAGCTTCCGGTGATTGCAGACCAAACATGGACTTGTGTGAAGTCTGCGGCATCAGTAGTTATCGTCCTAAAAGGAGTATTCCACCTTTTTGTACCTCACTTATTCTTACGTCGGACGCGTACAATTTGATCAGTAATACCAGTATTCTCGAAATCTTTCTGAAAAGCTCAGAATTTCTATTTGAAGTAGTCGACCCTGCGGAGAAATCTTGTTTGACGACCTGCTCACCACTATGAAAGCAGTACCTTTAATTTGATTTGTTTTTTTTCCAGAGTGCGTATTCTGTAATGTTTGCAACGCACTAATGGGTCAGTATGTTAGTGTAACAAATGCCACGGGAGCTCAAAGCACTGTTTAGACAGAAAATATTTGGGAATATGAAGCAATCATTTTACGAATTAAACGGAATACTATTGTGTTTGAATTTTTTCCCTAACGTTTACAAGGCGGCGCTTTGACGCACACTGGCAGTGGGAATGGAAGCATCACGTGGTTCATGTGACGCACTGGTTCAAACTTCAACCAATGCGCCTCTCGGTGGCAGGCCCTTGTCGGCTGGGCCAACAACAAACGTTCTTTTATTCGCACCAGTGGAGGTGTGCATGGCGTGCATAATGACGGCGGGTCGCGACTGAGGGAAAGGATGTGCTGTTATAAAGCGTTGACAGCGTACTTTGGACTCGAAAATAATTTTGATGTTGTTATGATGTCTGCAGTGCTGCAGTGGACACCACCCAGTGCTATGTTTAGATGTAACTAGTCCTGAGGTTTCACTTGGCTATGTGTTCGAAACATTTCCCCTAAAGGTGGGACACGTCCTTTAAACAAATTAATCACTCTTGAGTCGCCGTCAGGGAGCCTGACTGTAATTCATTGCTGTCTCCGCGCGTTACACCGGTAAAATATGATGATAAAATGCAGAGCCGGTTGGGTTTCACCTGTTAAGTAGGCACTGGAACTCCTTTTTCTGCCATAAATAACAGAAGGTCTCGTATGACGGAAAAGCTTCTGCTTTTCTTCGCCCTAAAATGGTTATCAAAGCGTCCGTATCTTGAAAGTCATCAGGTACCCTAACTTCAGACTCGGAAGTCTTAGCTGTCTAAATAATTCAAACCTGGATCAAAAAAGGATTTACATGTTATTAGAACAACACGCACCCCTCCAACATGGCTCTTTACTTTATTGGCTGATAGTACGTTTGGTCGTGGAAAATAATCACCAAAAATATATACAGTCCCTTAGTAGAAAACATCTTGAATCCCTACCCATGTAACTAGAATGGCATGCAACAACTCAGCAAGATATCTTCACTTTACTTGGTAAAGGAACGGCGCGGTCATGGAAAGGACAAAACTAATTAAGCTGTTCAGTTGCATGATCAACTCATTGACAGCCTGTCCACCTAATGAAAATTCGCCATATAGTCGACGCTTTCCGTCTTGCCCACGACGGGCCGTTCCATCAAGGGACCGTGAACCGTGAACCATGAATGTGTGGCTGCACGATCATACGGTCAAGAATACCCAAGCCGACAAGGGAGGCAGAAGCCCCAATATGGCCACACAGCCCATACACGGTGGAAGACCCGAGATGAGCGAGGTCTGAACATGTCGAGACACCGAAAAAGTGAATGTCCAAAGAAGGAGATTGCGCCCAAAGACGGTCAAATGGCCGGCCTGCACTTAAAAACTCGAAGCAGCCGAGGGATCTGAAACAGTCAGAGTTGCCGTGGGGTGTCATGGCCCCAAGACGCCTCGTAGGCTTCTGGTCTAACAAGGTGCTTCACCAGTCAAGTGAACTTTAAATGGTCAAGGGCCAAAACGATCAAGAGGCGTGCAGTCGACCGAAGCGTCCCAGAGCACCAGAATGGTCGGCTGACTCCGAGGCTGTGAAGGATATTTGCCACGGCGAATGCACCACAAGGTAGGCAAGGGACAACATCAGGGCCTCGTGATGTTCGAGTGATCCCTGACTGGTCTAGTGAGTCGCGAACGATCAGGAACCCCCAAAAGGTCACGGCTCACAGAGGCGAACTGAAGCGGCCGTAAGGCGCGAGCCGTTTGCGGGTCGAGACGCCAGGAAGCGAAATATCTTAGGTCGCGCGTGTTCCTATGTCCCGACTGCTTTCGCACATGGGGGTGCTTGCCTGCGTGCGTTTGTGTACACTCGCATCGGCGGCATGAAGCACACAAGGGTTATTACGCAAGGTACGCATGCTTTTGGGTGCGTATGCCAGCCAAACTATTTGAAAATTGTGCTCATGTCTACAAATGAACGCATGTGTTTTCAAAATTGAACATTGCCCATTGTCGTCAGAGGCGTAGTTTCGCCAAGTAATTTGAGGGGGCATTGAAAGAACTCAGCATACTCCCAACAAAAGGGCCACCAGCGTGGTCCTCCCTCCCCCGCTCCCCCCGGATTTGGCCCAGTTTGATTCTCGAAGTTGAGACTGGAGCACAAGTTAAAGGGAGCTTCACCGTGCCCTTCCCCCCTCCCCCCCCCGAACTGAAAAGAAACCATGCGCCGCAACGACATCGTTAGTAAATTCGTTTGCATATCTTTCCTTATAATGACAGCCGTAACTAATACGCTAAGGACGTCCACAAAGACATATATGTCAGACAAAATAATTACATCGAAATCGTCTCAGTGCGAGCCTATCCGGCGTTCGTCAATGAAGTACTCAACAATATTTTTCGTCATCTACGCTGGTGGAGTACAACATGCATGTATGGGGCCTCCCCTGTGCAAGGATGTATGGGGTCTTCCCCGCGCACCATGGATGGCGCACGCCTCATGGGACCAGTCAAGAACACAATGCGTCACCTTCTCCACTGCCGGCTGGCGCTGCAGGGCTTCAGGCCCGGCTCTTCCCTCGCTCCCCCACGGAGTGTTTACAGCGTCCGGCGGGCGTGACCTCACCAGATCCGACAGGGCACTTCTTCTGGGCAGCGTCCGTCGCCAGTGCCTAATTTCCAGCCTTCCAGTCGGGCCAGTCAGATTGCTCAACAGGCCGGAACGGGGGAGCGGCCGGTACGGCGGCGGCCCGCGGTCGCCGCCCGACTCCGGTTACGGGACGGGGACGGCGCCGGCCGGCCCGGCGGCCCGCCAGCCACCTGGCCGCCGCAGCCGGGCGGTCAGCAGCGGCATGCACCGGCCCGGCGCCACCAGCCGGCGCCTCCGAGGCCACTGGTCTACACATGCTTCAGTCCCTTAGGGTCGGTGATAGCGAAGAGCATACAATAAGGTGTGCCGGAAAGGAGGAGAGCGTGGTTACATCCAGCTTCTCAACCTTCTCACTGCTCAACGCCATCGATTAATTCAGTGAAAGCACACCTTGGGTGCACATCCTCCCCTTTATCATCTTTTCATCGTTGTTAAAAAAGCAGGTTATTTGGATTATTGTTTCCTCAATCGCTGACCTTAATGTTGATTTCGGTGGTGAGTGACAGCAGGACGGGTTACAAACATTTACTGAAGGTCCTAAGGTCCTAAGGTCCTAAGGTCCTAGCCGTCTTTCGCCAGCCCCTTTGCCTACCAGTTACTTGTAATAAAATTCTCGATCGAACGAAAGTGGAAGGTGTTCCGATGACCTAAACGTAAAGTGGTTTTTAACACCGCAATATATATGCATGATACCGCTAGACATTTCAGTGATATGTGAAGTTGGTTATTAGGGCTGGCCGCATTTTATTTCAAAGACAGATGCTCGTTTGCCATCGTTGGCGGACCTTTCTCTCGGTCCTTAAATAAAGTCAAACATATCAAGTCCCGCACGGGAACGACA